ACCCCAAAAAGAAATTTAAAACTTATATAACAGATAATCTACAACTGTACTTTTCAATGTGGTAGCTAACACCAACAAATTTCTATTTGAATTAATTAAAATAATTCAGTTTCTGTGATGCAAGGCTCATTTCCAGTGCTTAACAGCCACCCGTGGCTAGTGGTGCCACATTGTTCAGTGCAGATACACAACATTTCAGTCCTAGCAGGAAGTTTCTTTGGTCAGCTCTGATCTAGAAAGTGGTGCATAAGAAAACACTTCAGACTTAAGGTACATAGCTAAGCTAATATTTAAAGAAAAATGGAAATATTGGTATTATATAAAATAAAAGAGATTAAAAAATATAAAGAAATTAGGAAAAGAAAAAAAGGGAGTAAGGGAAAAATTGGTAAAAATAAATGCTGAAAATAATGAAAAATAAAATAAAACACAGAAATATACCAAAAGTTATTAGGAAATTATTTGGTAGTAGGAATAAGATTCTGAACAAGCTATAGCTAATGAAAGTGAAATTAAGAATACATTTGTTGCCATCTTGAGATTCCAGCTGAATAATATTGACCCTTAAAAACTAATGTTTTTTATTTGTGCTTGTCAGTGTTGGAAACTTTTAAATTCATGTTTCTGAAGCTTGTGTAGTCTTTTTAAATTTTTTTTCATTTGTTCTTTTTATATATACATAACAATAGAGTATATTTTGACATTATACATATATGGAGTTTAACTTCCCTTCTTGTGGTTGTACATAATGTGAAATTACACTGGTCGTGTATTCATTTATGAACATAGGAAAGATATATCCGATTAATTCAACTGTCTATCTTTTTTAAAAAATTTATTTGTTTTAATTAGTTATATATGACAGTAGAATGCATTTGTGCACTTTGATATATCATACATAGATGGGATATACTTTCTCATTTATCAGAGTGTACATGTGGCAGAATCATATTGGTCATGTAGTCACATATATACATAAAGTAATAATGTCTGTTTCATTCTATCTTTCCTATCTCCATATCCGCTCCCCTCCCATCAATCACTTCCCTCTACCTAATCTAAGGTAACGCTATTCTTCCCTAGTGCCCCCCACCCCCCCCCCGCCTTATTGTGAATTAGTATCCACATATTAGAGAAAACATTCGGTCTTTGGTTTTGTGGGATTGGCTTATTTTGCTTAGCATGATATTCTCCAACTCCAAACATTTACTGGCAAATGACATAATTTTACTCTTCTTTAAAGCTGAGTAATATTTCATTGAGTGTATACATCACATTTTCTTTATCCATTTATATATTGTTGGTTCCATAGTCTAGCTGTTGTGAATTGAGCTGCTGTAAACATTGATGTGGCTGCCTCACTGTAGTGTGCTGATTTTAAGTCCTTTAGGTATAAACCAAGGAGTTGAATATCTGGGTCAAATGGTGGTTCTATTCCAAGTTTTCTGAGGAATCTCCATACTGCTTTTCATAGTGGTTGCACCAATTTACAGACCCACCAGCAATGTATGAGTGTACCTTTTTCACCAGATCCTCGCCAACATTTATTGTTGCCTGTATTCTTGATGATTGTCATTCTGACAGGAGTGAGATGAAATCCTGAGTAGTTTTGATTTGCATTTCTCTAATTGCTAGAAATATTGAACACTTTTTCATATATTTGTTGATCGAGTGTATTTCTGTTCAGTTCCTTAGCCCATTTATTGATTGGGTTATTTGTTTTTTCGGTGTTGAGTTTTTTATGTATCCTAGAGATCAATGCTTTAGTGGAGGTGCATGTGGTAAAGATTTTCTCCCAATCTGTAGGCTCTCTCCTCACATTATTGATTGTTTCCTTTGCTGAGAAGAAGCTTTTTAATTTGAATTCACGTCATTTATTGATTCTTGATTTTACTTCTTGCGCTTTAGGAGTCTTGTTAAGGAAGTCAGATCCTAGGCTGATGTGGTGAAGATTTGAGCCTCTTTTTTCTTCTATTAGCCACAGGGTCTCTGTTCTAGTGCCTAAGTCTTTGATCCACTTTGAGTTGATTTTTTGTGCAGGGTGAGAGATAGAGGTTTAATTTCATTTTGCTACATATGGATTTCTAGTTTTGCTGGCACCATTTGTTGAATAGGCTATCTTTTCTCTAGTGAATGTTTTTTGGCACCCTTGTCTAGTATGAGATAACCGTATTTATGTGGGTTTGTCTCTGTGTCCTCTATTCTGTACCATTGGTTTACATCTTTATTTTGGTGCCAAAACCATGCAATTTTTATTACTGTAGCTCTGAAGTATAGTTTAAGGTCTGGTATTGTGATGCCTCATGCTTCACATTTCTTCCTAAGGATTGCTTTAGCTATTCAGGGTCTCTTATTTTTCCAAATAAATTTCATGATTGCTTTTTCTATTTCTATGAAGAATGTCATTGGGATTTTAATAGGAATTGCATTAAATCTGTATAACGCTTTTGGTAGTATGGCCACTTTGACAATGTTAATTCTGCCTATCTAGGAGCATGGGAGATCTTTCCATCTTCTGAGGTGTTCTTCAATTTCTTTCTTAGTGTTCTGTAGTTTTCATTGTAGAGGTCTTTCACCTCTTTTGTTAGATCAATTCCTAGTTTTTTTTTTTTTTTTTTTGAGGCTATTGTGAATGGAGTAGTTTTCCTAATCTCTCTTTCAGTGGATTCATTGCTGATGTATAGAAATGCATTTGATTATGAGTGTTAATTTTATATCCTGCCATTTTGCTGAATTCATTTATTAGTTCTAGAAGTTTTCTGGTGGAATTTTTTGGATCTTCTAGATATAGCATCATGTCATCAGCAAATAGTGATAATCTGAGTTCTTCTTTACCTATTTGTATCACTTTAATTTCTTTCTTTTGTCTAATTGCTCTGGGGAGAGTTTCAAGGATGATTTTTGAATGGAAGTGGTGAAAGGAGGATATCCTTGTCTTGTTCCAGTTTTTAGTGGGAATGCTTCCAATTTTTCTCAATGTAGAATGATACTGACCTTGAGTTTAGCATATATATCTTTTACAATGTTGAGGTATGTTTTTGTTATCCTTAGTTTTTCTATTGTTTTGAACATGAAGGTGTGGTTTTGATACCAGTACTTAGTAAAGGTAATTTCAGAAAAGATCAGCTTAGAAATCTAGGTGTAAAATTCTAAATATTAGTGAATGTAATTGCTTTATATTGAAAGAATCCATTTTCTTGGAATGTAAAGATGCTTCACAATAGAAATCCTACCAACATAAAGTATTGCATCAACAATTTAAAGGAGGAAAGACAGGTGGTTCTTCAGTAGATGCCAAAAAGGCATTTAATAAAATAATTAAAACTCTTAAAATGTAGGGCTGGGGTTGTGGCTCAGTGGTAGAGCACTCGCCTGGCACGGGCAAGGAACTGGGTTCGATCCTCAGCACCACATAAAATTAATAAATAAAATATTGTGTCCAACTATAACTAAAAAAAATAAAAATTAGAAACCTTTAAAATGTAATAAGAATTCTGATGAAATTGCTTATATCAGGGTATATAGTAATAGCACTTGCCACCACCTAGTGTTGTTCTGAGGATTTAATGAGTATTTTAATGTATGTGAAAACTGAGCAGAAGTGGGCATATAGAAACTACTCAATGTTTACTGTATTTACAAGGCATGATAAAATTGACAAAAGAAAGGCAAAAGAATTGGCAAAAAACGTTTTGATTAAAATGTTTGTTTAAAATTAATTAAAAAATAAATAAATAAAATGTTTGATTAAGAGTTGTTTGTTCTTGCTACAAAACAGTAGCTTATTTTGAGATAGGCTCTCAGCTTAGTGAGAGCCTATCTCAAAATAAAAACTAAAAAATAGGTTGGAGATATGCCCCTGTGTTCAATCTCTGGTACCTTTTTTTTTTTTTTTTTTGATACCAGAGATTGAACACAGGGGCACATCTCCAGCCTATTTTTTAATTTTTGTTTTGAGATAGGCTCTCACTAAGTTGCTGAAGCTGGCCACAAACTTGTGATCCCCATGCCTCAGCCTCCCCAAGTTGCTGGGACTACAGGGGTGTCACTGTGCCCATCTGTCATCATTTCCTGAGGTCTGTTTCTTTAAATGTAATAAAAGTATAAAGTAAAATAATATAAATACCCAAGAGGAATTGTATTATTTGAAATTACACATGATAGGATTATTTATATCCAGAAAATAAAGGAGACTACTAAAAAACCTGTTAAAATTAGTGTATGTTTTAGTTAATGTAATGTAAGATAAATTTTAGAAAATAAATAGTTCTTTATTGTTGAAATAGAAAAATAAGAGTCAACAAAATATTTATGTATCCAGAAAATGATTATATCCCTAAATTTGAATTTGAGGGAAGTCAAACCAGATCTCAATAAAAGTTTTCAGCCTTCCTAAAATTAACATATGAAGTTAATCAATACCAGTTAGAAACCTAGTACATCATCTTAGGAAACTAAAATAAGATGGTCCTAAAGTTTATGTGGAAAGACATTTATAAGAATATTCAAGAAAAATATACTTAATTCTGTTTTTATTACAGTGTCTGCATTACAGACACATGTTTATATTGTGAAGGGTGGGGGAAACAATATGCCATTTTGTTGGCCTTTTTTTTTTTTAAAGTGGGGAAAAAACTCAAAAAGCCTTAATTAACTTTAGTGTAAATTGGAATTCACAGGGAGATTATACACTGTTTCTGTATATATATTTTTAGCTGTTTTACTCATTAAAAGAAATAGGTTTTAAGGAATATGTTATCATTAATTGATATAGAAAATTTAACAGAAAAGATTTAATGGCTTTTCATTCAAAAGTTGTAATTCCATTTTAAACTAAAAAAAAGTAATATTAACTTAGATTTTTAAAGAAATTTCTTGGATTTTTAAAAATACATATTAAAAACAACATAATTTATTTCAGATTTCCTGTAGTCAGAAATTCTGAAAATAATTCTCTCTCTTTCTCTTTTAAAAATATTTTCTTCCTCTGTCTCTCAAAGGTATGCAACCACTCATGTATTCGGTTCAGGAAGCATTAAATGCCAGACCATGGTGGATTCGTATGGGTACCGACATTTGTTACTATAAGTAAGTATTCTAAGAACAGAATACCAGCTTACAAAAGGATGTTTCTTGGAATTATGATGAAATGTTTTATTAAACTTCATTCAATAAAACTAAAATTAGAATTTATAAGTAATAATAGTTTTTTTTTTTGGTCCTGTGATTTCAAATATAATTCTTATCTTTTTGCTTCCCATACTAACACACAAATATTTATCTTATTTTAATTTCTAAAATATTTTAACCAGAGTTGTCTTTCGCAATTGACATTGACAGTTAATTTTTTAAAATATTTTTTTAGTTGTCAATGGACCTTTTTTTTTAAAAAAAATTATTTATATATGGTCCTGAGAATCTAACCCAGTGCCTCACACATGCTAGGCAATCGATGTGCCACTGACAGAACTCCAGCCCCGGCACAGTTCGTCCTTGATGCATATAGGTGATCTACTTCAGTAAGCTAGAATAAGTGCTAGATATCATTTACTATATCTTTAGAATAATTGGATTATCCTTCATCTCCACTTCTAAATAATCTATTGCTTTCCATTTTACTATATTTCTCATGTAATGTTTCCAGATAACTTCTACCTTTGAATCCAGCTGGTATCCTGCTTTTCTGCTATTAATCTAGAAATTTCTGTCTAGTAGATTTTGACTTAGCATTATATTTAAGTAGCATTAATATCCTATATTTTAAGAATATTTTTAGCTTTGTCAGATGGTGACAGTTTTTAAAATTAAACTATTTTAATGATTTATGACATGGATTTGGATAAACCTATATCTTAAATGCTTTTACTTGCTGGGAAAGAAATGTTTCTTGGGCTTCATCTCAAGAAGGTTCCCCACTCCTACATTTATTAGCAAAATAAGTAGTAAATAAGATTGGAACAGAAATAAAGGTAAAATGTAATTTATTTACATTTGAATACATCTCATATTTGTATATTTCTCATAAAGTTGGAGTTAAGGAGTCATGACTTGGTAGTGCTTGGCTATATTTTGGCAGAATGATTTATAGACTGTTAAAGGGTAAAACAGTGTCAGAAAAATATTTCTTTCATGCTTCTCTACTTTTGAATAATAGAAATCATCAACCATTGAGTGTTTTTTCATATTGCAAAATGAGTGACAATGCATGACAAGTTGTTCTAGTCTATATAAGGAGTTATGTCAAAGTCGTTTAGTTTAATTTTTGTTTTTTTCTCTTGGCTGCTCCAAGTTAACTGATGATCAGTTTAATTCCACAAGCATTTATTAGCCACTTCATATGTAGCAGACATTGTTTTAATTGTTTTCATGAAACCTGAGATTCAGATAGTAGGAATTAAAGTGTACTTTTGCATTGTGTCTTAATTTTTTGTGTTAGCTAAGTCCTTTGGTGCTTGTCTGTCTTATCTGTAGAATGAAATAAAAGTACCTTCCACTAATACATAAGCTAATGTATGTTGTGCTGGTTTATAACATATAATTATTCTGCTAGAGAGCTGTTATGTGGTGATTTCTAATTAGATGTTAAGCTTTCATGGGAGAAGAGTTGAAAATCTTGTGCATGTTCCTTAATCCTTAGTACCTTGATATTGGGTATCTGTTCAGGACACAGTGATTAAGTTAATGAAAGCTATTTCAGTTTGAAAGTCCCTCCAATATTTATGTGCATGAATAACCTAGAGGCCCTGGGTTTTCAGAAGGACTTTTTGGAAATTAAGTTGATAGAATATCTTTAAATGTAAAGTCAGCAATATTTGAAGTCTTTAAAACTCCAAGTTACTTAACAATGTTTTATTATGGAATCTTCAAAGATTTATAAAAGCAGGGAATGGGATAATGAATGCCCCATGTGTGCATTGTCCAGTTTCAATAGTTATCAATATATTGTAGGTTTTGTTTTAGTGATTTTTTTTTAAACACAGTACCTTTATTTTATTTATTTTTTTAATGTGGTGCTGAGGATTGAACCCAGTGTCTCACACATGCTTGGCAAATGCTTTTCCACTAAGCTCCAACCCCAGCCCCGACAGTAAATTTCAAAAGCAATTTCCAGATATCATATTTTATCTAGAAATAGTTACATATATATCTCTAAAAGACAAAGATCTTTTTTTAAAAAAATATTTTTTAATTGTTGATAGACCTTTATTTTATTTATTTATATGCTGTACTAAGAATCGAACCCAGTGCCTCACACATGCCAGGCAAGTGCACTACTGCTGAGCCATAGTCCCAGCCCCAAGACAAAGATCTTTTAAGACAGTCAAACCACAATGTCATTTTCACACCTCAGAAAAATTAAGTAAAACACTTAATACGATGAAATATTCCAATGTTCAAACTTCACCAGTTGCCTTATAAATATTATTTTGCAGTTGGCTTGTTTCAATTAGACTTCAACCAAAGATTACATATTACATTTTTTAAGTGTAAAAGAAGTTAAACATGATTTATTTCTGCTACCAATGTACCAAAGGAATTAACAGTTATCAGAATAAAACACAAAACCATCAAATACCTGCGAAAAGTGGCTTATGTCAGCTGATATCTGCTGATATTTCCCTTGAGAATCACACATCACATATGATTGTTTTCTTCTTACTGGAGATTAAGCCCAGGGGAGCTTAACCACTGAGCTACATTCCCAGTCATTTTTTATATTTAGAGAAGATTCTCACTAAGTTATTGAGGTTGGCTTTGAATTTGTGATCCTCCTACCTCAGCTTCCCAATCTGCTGGGATTACTGACATGCTCTACTGTGCCTGGCATCACATTAGATTTTTGTTGAAGTATCCCTGTAGTCCTTTTTAGTTTACAGGATTCTCTTTTCTTTTTTGTAAATCTCTAATTCATTTGTTAAAGAAACTGGAGTATTTATTATGCAGAGTTTACCATAGTTGGATTTTACCGAGTATATCTGTGGTATTAACAAATACCTCATCAATTTCTTATAAATTGGCAGTTAGACTTATCAGCTTAATTAATTTCAGGTTTGATATTTGGCAAGAATACCTCGTAGGTGGTTGGTGAGTTTCTATTGCATCACGTTAGGAAACAGCATCTTCTCCGATTATTTTTTCTTTTGTAATCTTAAGATTGATTAGTCAATTCAGGTATTGGACCTGATCCATCCACCATGAAGGTATCCGTCAGCCTTTCATTTAATAGTTGCAGTTGCTGATGATCATTGGTAGATTCAGATATGTGTGTGGTTGTTATAGAATGGGGTTCTAAAATTTTACTAATATATTAGTTTCATTTAACCAGTTAATTTGGAAGTGATAAGTAATGTTGTTGACTAATAACATTTTGCTGCTTTGTTAGTACTAACTCTATGTAGAATATTTAAATTAAACTTTTTATAGACTGGGGTTTTTCTTTTTTCCCTGAAGTTCTATTTAATAAATTAGAAAGGAAAATCAGAACTTTTATGTGGATGAAATAAACCTGTTTTATGCTTTTTAATGGCAGAAATCATTTCTCAAGAAGTTCAGTTGCTGCAGGTGGACAAAAGGGAAAATCCTACTATACAATTACATTCACTGTCAATTTTCCACATAAAGATGATGTTTGCTACTTTGCTTATCACTATCCATATACGTATTCAACTTTACAGGTGAGAATTCAAAATTGTTATTCTGACTATTATTGCATATAAATGTTATATATCAGATAATTGAAGAAAAGTTGCTTTTAATGAAATACCTTAACAAAGTTTAGTGTTGAAGGTGTTAGAATTTATTGAAAATGTTAAAGAAGGATAATATAAATGTGATCTGATCTTACTGAAAAACATATGAGGAAAGTTTAATAATTTTTTTGCTTCCCATCATTTGTATATTTCTATAGTTCTCTAAGCTAAGATTCCCAATTTACAAATTTTAACTAGGTGAGATTTCCACTTTATTTAACCAGAACATTGAATCTCCTAGAAAACAGAATAGTAGAAAAATGTGGATACAATTTGAATTTTTCTGTAGCAAAAGATTTCATTTTGGAATCCTAGATCCAGATTCCTTAGAATATGGGGTATAAGCATTGTTTTGTGGGACTTTTAATTCAAATAATTAAATTACCAACTATAGTAGAGTTATTCTCAGAACAGAATGTTAGCCTTAATGGTCAAGGATCGTGATAGTGTGATCATTTTACAAAAAAAGAAATTGGAGCAATATGATTAGGAACAAACTTCCAAGTTATTAGCAGAAAATGAAAAATGTGGTCTGTAGAATAGAAGAGGTGTCATACTGAGAATACAAAATGAGCCTCACAGTATCTTCATAAAGGTTACAACCTACAACAAAGGTATAATGTTCAGGAATCTGTCTGTGCTGAATAATATAGCATCAGAACATATACTTCATGGCCTAGTTGTATTTTTGGGTAATTCATCCTAGGAAAACAATTATGAATGTATTTTTAAAAATGTATCTTTGGGACATTTTTATTTACCTGGTTATATATTTTTTTATTTTTTTATTAATCTTGCCTTTTTAATGTACTCTGAATTCTTATTTTGTTTAATCCTACTACCATGATCTTTCCAGACATTATTCTTGTTCTTCATCTGGACTTCTGCCAGCTTCTTCCTACTGGTGGTTCTAGGATTAACTTTTACCTTCTTTTTTCTTCCTTGGTCTCTTCCACACTGTGGCCAGAGGGCTGGCTCTTTTATGGCAAATCTCATTTTATAATCCTGTATTTAAAACTCCAGCCCTGTGTGAGTCTAAAGTTCTTACATGATTTCATTTATTTTTCACTTGTTTGCCATTTCCACATACTGTTTGAATTATTGTTTAATAACTATTTTAAAATAGACTTTAAAATATATTCTCACTTAAGTTATTAGCCATGGAATTGCAATTTTAATGTGCTAGACATTTTTTTTTTCTAATTCACAGTAAAATACATACTTATTAAGCTTTTAAAAAGGGTATCTGTGTATCACACAGATACTTCAAATAATGTTAGTGTGTATACCATGCTTTGGGAAGGGTCTCCCAGCCCTTTAATCTGTTATCAGCTTCTCTATTTCTCAGTCTTGTTCCTCTGTTCTAACTATAATGAATCTTTTGGAGTTCTTTGAAGTATTCTTATTCTGCCTTATCTTGTGGTATTCCTATTTATTTTCCTTTTGCCTGCATTCTTCGTTTCTGTCCCCTTCAATCATCCTTTGGATCTCAGTTTAAGTGTAACCTTCTCTAAAAGACCTTTCCTCACTGCCCAGAGTAGGCTAGGCTTCCTCTCCTTATTATAGGCTCTCATAGTAATAGAATCCAGTTATTCATTATTGTATGCCCAATGTGTCCCGCATGCTTTTTGGCAAACAGTGACTGCTTGAATCAGTAGTGATTATGCAAATGCACATAGGCAAGATGTGAGAACTAAGTATCTAAAATAAGGGATTGGACAATATATTTTTCTGAGGTGATACAATATTCATAATTACAAACGTGTGTATATGTATAAATGATTAAGTGGCAAAATCAAATTGTAAAAAGTCATATGTACTTATATTTTTGATTATATATTCTGCATTTACTAGTAGTAATCTGGGTGATAGAGTTGTGGGTGTTCTAAACATTTTCTTTGGTACTCTGTTTCTTGCAGACATTTTGTAATGAGTCTGTATTAATCTTGAAATCAGGAAAATGTTAAAAAAAAGTGTGCTACATGATTTTTATTCTCTACCTTTAAGATTGCTATAATAGGTCTGCAGTCACTTATAATTCTAAAATTCAGAAAGTTTTGAAAGCCAAAGACTTTTTGTAATTCAGATTGGCAAAGCCTGATTTGAACTTTTTGTGAGCTTATTTAGACTACTGATTCTACTTAAGATCTTTTCATAGGTTTTGCTACAGAAATAATAATGTTTCTAAAAACTGATACCCCTGACCTAACTCTGCTGGTATACCCTCTGTACCGCCTTTCTTGAGTTCCTCAAATACTAATGTTGAACTACATCTGGCCTTGAGGGTTTTGGATAAGATAAGAATTGGATTTGCTTCTATTTATATGGCAATCTGGATGTATTATTTCTACACATCATAGGAAGTTTTAAAATGATTATGTACTTTGCTTTTAAATTTTTATCAAGATGCATCTTCAAAAATTGGAATCAGCACACAATCCTCAGCAAATCTATTTTCGAAAAGATGTGTTATGTGAAACCTTGTCTGGAAACAGCTGTCCCTTGGTGACTATAACAGCAATGCCAGAGTCTAATTATTATGAACATATCTGTCAATTCAGTAAGTCTCTCTTCTTCACTTAAATTATTACTTATTCTCACATATTTTTGTTGTACATATTTTTTATGTACAACAATAATAATACAAAGAACAGGCATCAGAAAACTTGAATTCTAATCTGTTCCTGATACTGCTTACCCATCTGCCTACCTCTGTGCCTTAGTTTCCTTGTCTTAAAAGTAAAGGAGCTTCCTGAGACAATCTCCAAGGTTCCTTTTGAAGCTAATATTTTAATACAATAATTTTAAGAGTTCAGGTAGAAATGTGATCAATTTAAATTAAATTGAAAAATTGACAACTAATTTTATTTATTAATAAAATAATAAACAGCCAGAAACTTATTAAGGTTTTGTTAGCTGGGACTGTACTGGCACTATTTTTCTTTGCCATTTTTATTTTTAAAAATGCCTCACAAATTTAGATGTGGTAGGAAAAATAAGTTCTAATTTTGATAAGAAGATAAAAGTATTTTCAGGAAAGAAAGAGTTTTTTACATATGAAATTATGAATAACGAACTGAGTGATTATTTTTAGACATATATTTAAATATATAGTGAAAAAATTTATTTTGGTAAATCTGAGCAGATTTTTTTTCCCCTGTGCTTATGATAATGGGGATATGATTATATTTTCCTTCTATACCCCATGATATTTGAAAAATAATTTCATATTTTAAACTTTCTCAATTACTTATTCTCTGCAAAATCAAAATCAAATTTACATTAAAGAACTAATTTTTATATGTTAGGTTTATCATTAGGAAGTAAATAAGTTGTTCAAATACTATTTATTGTTTTATGTTTATATTACGAGCTCCTTCAAGACATGGTTTATATATTTTTTTATTTGCTTTCTCTATAGGGCCTAGTGCAGTGCTTACATATGCTACATGCAGAGTGAATTCTACCATGAATTTGTATTAGAGTTCACAGTTGAGAGAGACATTGTTGAAGTCCAAAAGTGAAATGTAATACACTCCTTTTTGTAGCTGTTTATTGTAATTTGAGATTTTATGTGTACTTTAGGAAATCGTCCTTATGTTTTCCTATCTGCTCGGGTACATCCTGGAGAAACTAATGCAAGTTGGGTTATGAAAGGAACATTGGAATATCTCATGAGTAATAACCCTACTGCTCAGAGCTTGCGAGAATCCTATATTTTTAAAATTGTTCCTATGCTAAATCCAGATGGTGTCATCAATGGAAAGTAAGTTAAGCAATAGTTACAGATTTTTTTTATAGATTATTATAGATGTCCTTTATAATTGTGTCCAGGTTAATTCAGAAGACATATCTAGTGATTTTTCTAGAACAAAGAAATTTTCGGTGGGGAATTTATCTAAGATAAAACTTCTAAGTGAAAATATATTTTATATGCTAGCAGTAGTATGATATTTTAAGAATTCTATATCCAAGAGAATATGATGTCATAAAATCTCTGACTTGCTTGAATTGTTTTAGAAAAATCACAGTGTTAGGGTAGGCAAAGATTTTTAACACATACTTCTCATATTCTCTTTTTATTTGTTAATAGTGTGATCTTAGGTTGTTCCAAGATTAAGAATCTTTTGGGGTCTCTTTCCATGATATGGAATGTGAGCCTGTTTGCTTTTCCTGATAGAAGGAGGTATAGTTTCTGATAGAAGGGATTCTTAGACATTATTAGAAAATAATTACTTTTTAACTGAAGGTAGTTTATAGTGAGTTCATTAAATTTATTCTGGCAATTTGACAAGGTTTTTGTAGTGCTTTTAAAAGGTGGAGTTTAGTCCAACAGTCATGAACATTTCCAAAGATGTGGATACCATATCTTATGTATGGTGGCAAGGGTATTTTTTATATTTTAGGAAGTTATTTAACTTTTTAAAAATAAAATTTTTTTTTAGTTAATGGTTATGGAACTAAAATAACTCAAAAACATATTGGCCAGCTAGAATTCTATGTACCTTTCTTTTATCACTTTCTGATTTTTTTTGCTTTAGTTTTTGTTTAATGGCTTCAATACTTAGTATTTATGAATAAGTGATAGTGTATTTACATTGTTACAAGAATATTACTTCTTATTTACTTGTCTTTCTCAGGAGAGCCTAAATAGCACAGAATAATGAATGCAATCAAGATATAGAATGTTAGTATAGCCTATGGTTATTTTGTAGTCAGAATGGAAAATATGACCATTAATAAATTTTATAAAGTATGGAATAAAACACCAGAATTGAGAATTATTTTCTCTATAACTTGCATGTTTTGATTATAAATTAAAAAGCCTATCATAGTTAAATATATGTGACCCAAGTTCTTGCATATAACAAGTGCTCAATAAATGTTTACTTTTAATGTAAACTGAATGTAATATGTTTTCAGTCAAGCCTACTATCTATACCTACTCGAAACACTAGAATAAAGGCATAAAATTAAATTAGAAATGTACATAAGGGTTATTGGTATCACTTTTTTATATCTTTGTGTTTACATATAGTCACCGCTGTTCTTTAAGTGGAGAGGATTTGAATAGACAGTGGCAAAGTCCAAATCCAGATTTACATCCTACAATTTACCATGCTAAGGGTCTGCTACAATACCTGGCAGCAGTGAAACGTTTACCACTGGTAAGTGGCAATGCTTGTTTTTACTTTGTATAGTCAAAAAATGTTTTTATTGATTAATGACTTAACATTATAAAATAATGCAGATTATTTTCTGGTTATTTTTTATTTTAGTATTGTGTAATAATTTTGGTGTCAAATAGTATACTGAATTCATTTTCTTATTTTATCAAGTTGATTATTTATAATTTCTATATGCCTTTTACTGTTTTTTTAATGTATATTGGTAACTCTTGGTTTTAAGTTTTAAATATTGAACTTCATTGTTTAAACAGTACTAAAGTGACCATATACGTCTTTCAAATTTCAAACTAGTGGAAGCTAATATTGAGTTCTTTGATCATCTCTGAAATGCTGAGTGTACACGTGGGAAATGTGGCAGGCATGGTGTGAGACCATTCTGGACTTCATATACATGTTCCTTCTGTTTTTACCAGTTTTTGATTTTTGTTTTATTAGTGTTTAAATTATTTAATCTTCCTTTGGGAAATACAGAAAAACTTTGTGGAGGGATATAATTAACATATGAATCTTATCATTTATTTTGCATTTTTGAAATAATTCTCTTAAAAATTAAATTGACACCTTTTAAAGTAATGTTTTTCATGAGAGCATTGTCATATTTTAGCAAACCTTTAAGACCATGGTGAATGTAGATATAGATTTGAACTATAATTGAATTTGTTACTTCTTAAATGGTGAATGGTAGATTCAGAAGAAAAGAACTTCTGACTTGATGTGAAATCTTCAAGTGATTGGGCAGTGTTGGAGTTAAGCAAAGGTCCTTTCCAGAACTAGATATTATTACTTATTAAATGGTGGTTCTGTTAAAATAGACCAAGAAATATGGAGATGTCCATTAGTTTGGTATTAACTAACTTTACTTGAAGATATATGGATTTGAAGATTAAATAATTAAATAATAAATAATTAAAAGATTAAAAATTAAGTAATTTTTAAAATCTATTATCTTTTCAAGGTTTATTGTGATTATCATGGCCATTCTCGAAAGAAGAATGTATTTATGTATGGATGCAGCATCAAAGAGACAGTATGGCATACCAATGATAATGCCTCTTCATGTGATGTTGTAGAAGATATGGGATATAGGGTAATTACAGATGATTAATGAGTTTTTGAGTTTTAAACATGTAAACTACAGAAAATAATTTTACATATGAACTGCTCAGATTCAATAAATATTGACATCATACTGTTTTTGTTTCAGATTCTTCATTTTAAAAGTTTTTATTTTCACACATAGATTTTTCATCTATTTGGAATTTTTTTAATATGAGATACAGGGATCTAATCTTTTTGCCCAGGGATACCAGTTATCTCAATACCATTTACTAGATAGTACATCCTTCCTCTGTGAATTTGATGAAGCCATTTATTATATATCTGTTTTTACATGTGTGGGTGTGTTGTGAGGCTCTCAACTACTATAGTCATTCTTGTTTCTTTCTCTTTGTATGCCACATTTTAATTATGGTAAACTTATAATTAATATTGATATCTGATAGGACAAAGTCTCTTATTTAATAAAAGTGTCTTTGGCTCTTTTGTCTATTTTCCTTCCTTGTGAATTCTACGATCAGTTTGTGAACAAACTTTGATGAGATTTGGGTCAGCATTTTTCTGAATCTAAATTAGGCAGGAGAGAATTATTATTATGATAATGTACAGCATTGCTACCTATGACATTGCCTGTCTTTTTCTTTCTTTTATATTTTTAAATAAAAATGTAAAATTTCTCCACATAGGATTGATATTTCTGTTAGATTTTTTTCTAAATACTTTTGATGCAGCTGGGAATGAGATTTTTATTTTTCTCTTGCATTTCTCCTTGTTCCCAATTGACCATTCATGTGCATAGGAAAGCTATAAATCTTTTATAAAAAAGATTACATATCAGAATGACATTGAGTTTCTTAATAGCAACATTAGAAGCAAAATTTCTGTGGAGCAAAACTTTCAGTTCTCAGCTAGATTTCCAACCTATAAATTTTATAATATAACCTGTCAATAAATGTAAAAGTAAAAAAGTATTCTCAGATATTGAAAAGTCTCAGAAATTTGCCTTACAAATAATTTTTCTCTAGAAGACACCATAAGATATTCTTGCCAGAATCAAGGAGTATTCTGAGAAAGAACGCGGTTAAATTCAAGAGAAAGACAAAGCCCAGAATAAAGGTGTTTCGGGAGCCTCAGTATATATCTGAAATGCCCGATGGGCCTAGCATTCAACAACTGCTACTGCTGCACTATCTTCACAGAGTTTAGAGCCTAAATAGGTTAAGCCACATTAAGTAATTAGATTAACAGAGTTTAGGGATATAAAGGAGAAATAAGGAATATGTAATGCAGACCCAGATAAACCATGTGTGAAAGTGAGAGGCCCAGAGGGGAGAAAGCTAGACTAAAGAGCACATACAGTGTTTCCATGTGTGGGTCTCTTGGAACATCAACACTGTCACCCCACTTCTTGCTTATTATCATACTTGCTTATTTGTCATACACCTCTCGTAGGAATTATTACTTAGTCCCCTAAAATGAAATTAGGACTTACATGCACAAGATTATATTTCCTTTATAACCCTAAAGAATTGTAATTTGGCCTGGCACAGGCCACCATATGCCAGGCCTGCACCACACACACCTGCCATCCCGTCTGAGGCAGGAGGATCTGCAAGCTTGAAGCTAGCCTCAGCTACTTTGCCAGTCCCTAAGCAACTTTGCAAGACCATGTCTCAAATTTTTTAAAAATGAAAAGGTCTGGTGGGGGGGGTGTCCAAAAAAATTGTAATTTAAAATTTGGTATGATATCATTTGGTTAGTGTGTTTCTCTTTATGCTACATGATAAGCTTCATATGCCTGGCAGTTCTGTCTAATTTGTTCACTTTGGGGAACACAGTAACTGTGTAGCACAAATTTTTATTCATCTCAACCATTCATTATATTTGTTTGATGAGTTGGTGGATGACAGGCAGACATGACCTGGGGAGATAAATACAAGTTATCTTTGGTCTTGGTTTTTTAAAATTTTTTATTAATTCTTTTCTCCAGTTTTCTTTGTTTGGTTAAATATCTGGAATTTATTATGAAAGGAGACATAAAATGCTGCTGCAGGTTAGGTAAAATACATAAATCAGTTTTTCCCTTAAGTAATTTGTCAAGATGTTACCTGGCATTTCAGACACTACCACTCCAAATAGTTTTATGACCAGATATGCCTGGTGTTCACATTTGACACAGTTTATATTATTGTTTCTTGTCTTCAAGACTCCTAAGATGCTTTACATGCTAGTGAGCATCTTACATTTCCAAGGTTGTTGAGGGGAGTGTGAGTGTGAGTGTGTGTGTGTGTGTGTGTGTGTGTGTGTGTGTGTGTGTGTTGTACATATGAGAGAGAAAGTAGAATATTTCACACAATTCCATCATCGTGTGTGTTATTTCTATTTGATGCTGTAACAAAATAACCAGAAGTGTGGGCTTAAAACAGATTTACTTACAGTTCTATAGTTCTGATGCAGGTCTCTACTGGATTAAAATCAAGCAGGACTGCATTGGTTCTTGGAATCTATAGGGTAGAATCATAACTACCCGCCCAGGCAAACAGCTCCCTGTGTTCCTAGTGTCATCATCTAGAAGGAATCAATTCAATAATCTCTTGCTTCCATTGTCACATCACCTTTTCTCCCTCCTCCTGCCTTCCTCTTTTCCCTAAGGACGGCCCTTGTGATGACCTTGGGTCCACTGAGATTATCTATAATGTCCCACCTCAAAATCTTTAACTTCATCACATCTGTACAGACCTTTTGCCATGTAAAGTAACATATTTTCAGGTTCTGAAGATTGAGATGTGGACATCTTTGACGGGCCATTAATTATTCTTGACTACCGTACTATGGAACTCTTTTTTTTTTGCTGATATTTTCAGTATGTAAATATTTTAGAGAAATATTTTCGGCAAAAATTATGACATATAAATAGAGGACACTTGACAAAACAACTGATCACTACTTTACGAAAGTGTAAAGATCATGAAGGATACAGAAAGTTTAAGGAATAATCTCAGGTACAAGAGAAATAATGGCTAAATGCAATGTGAAATTATGGATAGGATCCTGTAACACGAGGCATTAGAAAAATGAAGAAATTGGAATAAAACCTATCATTTAGGTAACAGTATTGAATCAACTTTAATTTTTTGTTCTGATATTCTACTATAGTTAATACATTAACATTAAGGATTGCTAAAGGAAATATAAATTTTTTTGTAATGTTTTTTGCAACTTTTAAGTTTAAAATTAGTCCAAAATAAAAAGTTTTAAAAACAAACTTTTATTATTGTACTATGGTATTCACCTTATTGGAAGAAAATATATGATTAGCTTTTTTTTTTTAAATTTTTATTGTTGGTTGTTCAAAACATTACATAGTTCTTGATATATCATATTTCACACTTTGATTCAAGTGGGTTATGAACTTAATAAAGTAATATTGGCTTTTAAAGAACTTTCTAATATTTTTAAATATTATAGATAATTTTAGACCATTAATCCTGAATGAGATGACTTAGGAAGAACCTTTACTTTTTTTGGTTGACTGAATGTATCCAATACTTAATAAGCATTAGGTAAATATTTGTTGAATGAATAGATGAATTAATTATATGTACAAACATTAACAACTTTATTGCCTTATTTGAACTGTGCTTATAGTAGCTTTTAGTGTACTGTCATATATATGAGGTTTTTTTTCTGATGTAGGTAGAGATTATCATTGTAATTGTACAATTGAGTCAACTAAGGCTTCTAGTTCAGTTGACATCTTGAGGCCTTGGTGAAAAAGTTGTTTGCCTTTGGTTGGAAGTGAGATACCCTGCTTCAAGTCCTCTGTTTTCTGTTTCATCACAGTCTCTGCTATCATAATGATGCCTACACCCCATCTATTTTCAAAAAACATTAGAGTAACATACCACTGTGCTTTGAAGAACTTGAAAGCTCATTTTTTTTTTTTTTTGGTGCTCTCTCCCTTCTTCCCCCTCCCCAAATAAAGTGATTAGAATGATGTAAAAATGGGAACACTTCACACACACACACACACACACACACACACACACACACGCGCGCGCGCATAAAGTAGCTAGTGAAAGTTATCATCTCTCATTTTCTTAACACTAGTCCCTTTTACCATGTGTGTTATAAAACTTGCCTCTAAACACATCCCTCCATGAAAGTATATACATACAGTATAGGGAGTCTTTGTTCTTTTATGCAGCACATAACAACTTGCTTTTTCATATAATAATGCTTGTTTACTGTCTTTCCTGGTCATCTTATCAGGATCTATCTGTTAACAGTTACACAAGATTTTCATTGTGCATTTTTGTTTTTATTGTACTGGCACACTCAGTTGTATTTGTTCAGTAGTCTCCTGTTGGTCATTTGACTAGTACTGCCAAATTTTCCTTCATCAGGATTATATAAATTAGCAATCCAAAATACTGTGAGTGATAGTGTTTTTTCTTCACATCCTGACTGTATTGTACCATCTTTGCCACATGAAAATAAAAATAATTATTTTTATTTATATAAGTACATTTACAAATGAAGTTGAGTATCATGTTTGACTCTTTTTAAAAAAGAGAGTATTGGGTTTTGCATTTGTGATCTAATTATTATTGTTTTTAAAATAAGAATTCTTTATGTATATATTTATTTTCTAATTTGTTATGATGTTTGGTAATTTAAAACTTTAATCATATTTGTTGATTTTTTTAATGAAGCATGACTTCAGATTGTTTTTCCTCAGTTGAGTATCCATTTGTGTCAATATTTAATAGATGATCACTAGTAATAATTTTTTAATACGTTCACTTTTAATTCTAAACTAGAATTACACTAGAGCTTTATCTGTTCCTACATTAGTATCACAATTTATCTTACTTTACATATGCAATCTAGATTGATATATGTTGGATTGTTCCTCCATTATAGCCTTTTAAAATATTTTTTGAAAATTTCCCAAGATATACTTCCATATTTACACTTTCAGTTAACCTGAGAACAATTTTAGGTCATAAAATATTTTGGAGTATTTTGATTGTGATTATCTTGTATTTATTGATTACTTTAGGGATGATTGACATTTCCAGTGTTAAATCTCTGTCTTTCATGGCTAAATATTCTTCACATTTTAAAAATATTTTCATTATATTTTTAATCATGGTTTTCTTAAATGATTATATTCTGTTTACTGGTTGCTGTTCTAAGTGTGATCATTTCTTCCATATGTTTGCTAACTGGCTACTATTTGATTAGAGCAGCAGGAAATTCTAAATTAGTAAGAGAACTGTATTGGATGTTTGAGTAGCAGGGTTGCTATAGAAAGAAGATCCACATGGTCCTGATTTTATCACTGTGGTTTCATCAAACTTTTTAAAAAAGAAAAATGTAAAATTAAAGTAACCTTTTGATTTATTTTATTATTATTTTTATTTTTTACAGACTTTGCCTAAGATACTGAGCCATATTGCCCCAGCATTTTGTATGAGCAGCTGTAGCTTTGTAGTGGAAAAATCTAAAGAATCCACAGCACGTGTTGTAGTTTGGCGGGAAATAGGAGTACAGAGAAGCTACACCATGGAAAGTACTTTATGTGGCTGTGATCAGGGAAAATATAAGGTAAAATGTTTTATTTGGACTCTTAGCCATAAAAAAAAATTGAAGACTTTCTTTTATATATACTCTCATGGTTTTCAAGTACAGTGCATTTGTCTTATGGAGTTATATGTAATTTGTGATAATGGAATTGAATCACATGCAACCTCAACACTGTGTTTTTTTTTTTTTTTAAACTAAATAGCTTGCTTGGGATCCTTAAAATACTCTTGAGTCTATTTATATTCATAATTTTTAAGAAAAGGCATTAGAATATGCACTAAAATTCTGATTACTAATTTATAAGGAGCTATAAGTGTAGTATATTATTTATGAAAATTTTCTATTGTTTTAATTGACTGGATGTAAGTATATTTTTGTGCATTTAAAATCAACACATTATACTTACAAAGCAACTAGTTTATTATATTTAGATTGTTTTAATTTTTTTAATTAACTTTTTAAATTAATTTTTAAATTAATTTTTAATTTAACTTTTAAATGCATATCCCTTCACTAAATTCTTTTCTTTAATAAGACTGTTCTCCTTGAGCTCTATAGGCTTTTGTTGGAGATAACCAAAGTTTAAATTTTACTTTGGAAATTAAAGGCATAAAAAATATTAGGTGATTTAGGATTTTTTGTTTTAAAAATTGATGACTTCAGGTTGAATGAATTGAACCTCAGATAAGCAGTAAGCAAGTCTAAATATTTATTTTTCTTTGGTTTTTATTAACTTTTGTCATACAGGTATCTATAAGGTAATGTTGAAACATACTGGAGCTTTGATTTTAACACTATAGTATTTCAACACTGGCAATCAAAGAAGTAGATTATGATAAATACTAGCAAGATTGTTATAGTTTCACACGTGATCTACAAAGTAACATTAATCTTAAAATGTCCATCCATGTTTTTTCTCCCAAATTAGTGAAAATAATTTGCGTCATAGTAAGTGAAAATAGACATTCAAGAAATGATTTTTAGGAAAGTTTCCTATGTGATCTAAGAATAATTTTGCATTTTAAAAACACACAACAATATTATATTATAGTTCTGTATCAAATTTTATTAATGTAGTTATAAATTCTTTATAATTTTATCAAAGTACAATTAGAGGAGAGAAAACTTTCTAGTTATGTGTGTAATATTACTTTATTTCTAGGGTTTACAGATTGGTACTAGAGAATTGGAAGAGATGGGAGCAAAATTTTGTGTTGGTCTGCTGCGTTTAAAAAGACTGACATCCCCATTGGAGTATAATCTGCCTTCCAGCTTGCTTGACTTTGAAAATGACTTAATTGAATCAAGCTGCAAAGTAACTAGGTAGGACACACTCATTTTATTTTTTTTTTATTGCATTGTAATATACTATTGAGCTTCATTAGATAGTTAAGCATAGGAAGAAAATAGGGATTTGGCTAGCCAAGAGCATATCTAATATTTTTCTAAACTGGGATAATATTTTTTAATGTTGATATTTGAATGATATTTTAATGAAATACCTTTACTTTTTTGAATGATATTTGTAGTGATCTTAACAATTTATTTTTAGTCCCAAAATAATCAATGCAGAAATATTTCACTTAGTTAATATTTAAATTAAGAGCACTTAGAGTCAGAGTTCATATTTCAAAGGAATTTTTATTTTGTTGATATCTATACATATCGGATAGCTGCTCAATAATGTTGTGATTATATATATTAGAAATAGCTAAATTAACCTTGCCTTTGAAAATTTATTTACATCTGCTAAGTGTTCTTTAAAATAGGTAATCTTTTTCTCTTAAAATTTAGCATGAAATTTGATCAATTGTGAGCTCAGAAATAATTAAATATTATAATTCATAACCATAATGCCAGGGCTTAGCATTTAATAGTTTGGTGTATATGTGTAAAATAGTCCCATTTTATAGAACTTTTATGATTTTTGTTGTTAGCTATTAAACTGTTATTAGATCTGTTAAGTTTTTGTGATGTACTGTTACATATATCAGCGAAGCAGTTTTATGTGCACTCATACCATTAATTGGACTCCATTCTTTATAAATGTGATCTTTTAGACAGCTGATCACCTGCAGTTTTCTATTTCTCAGAGTACCTGCTGGACACTGATGGAAATGAATGAAAAGGAGTCAGTTCTTACTGATATTTAGACGCCTTCTTTTAAGCTTTAATTCATGTATTATAAATAACCTACAATCAGTTCATGGACTTATTATAGTTGCTTTAGATATCCTGAAATATTATTTATGATTATTAATACCTCACAGCTATGGTTATTAGCTCCTCTGCCAGTTTTAGCCTTTAAAAGGAGCAGAACACATATTTTGAAAAGCATTTATTTTGAAGAAATGTACTGCTACACATTCTGCTATGTCACATTTTTAACATTTTGATAATTGTATTTCAATATAATTTGTTTCCTCTGTAATCATATTCATCTTATTTTATATATTTCAAAGTACTATTGTGAAAATGACTTCATAGGCCTTATCATAACTTTCCAAGGTTTCTGTGACATAGAAAAGGTTAAGAACTCATAGTTCTCATCACTGTATGCATATAAAAATACAAACATAATAATAGGCAATTCTAAATTAGGACAGTTTTCCCCCTTGAAATTCTACTCTAGCTGTTTCTCCTGTTTATTGATTTATCTCATTAGGCAACCAGTCACTTCTTCCTCCGTGCTGCCATTTCTTCTATCTTAGATGAATTTTATACATACTTCTGATTTTTCCTTGACTTCTGTATCTTGATACTTTTGAGGTATACAGGCCCACAATCTCAGTTTTTCTACATCTCCTCATATTGTTACTAAGTTTATACATCTTTGGCAAGAATATGGTGGTTACTGTTTCTTCTCATTGCATTCAGCTCTAGTATGCAGTTTTAATTTGTTCTTTAACTCACTGTGTTCCCTTTTGATCACTTAAGATGCTATCTGCCAAATTTCTCCATTACAAAATTAGTTTTTCCTCCTTTCTAATTAATAAGTATTTTAATGGGGATGCATTTTGCTATTTGTTGGCATTCATTTCTTAAATATACATTGAACTTTGAATTTATTCATTTTTAAATGGATATATAATATATATATTAGACAATGATTTATATTCTGATTCAATGAGTTTTAATCAGTTACTATTGTTATTTATATTGATGCTCAATTACCTCAGTTTGGTCCCTTCAAGAAGCTTCTATGTTTTTTTCACATGTCCCCATCATTCTTTGAGGTTTTCCTTACTGCCACACAGGATTTCCAGGCTCATCTTTTATATGTACTTTGTCCCAAGGTTGGGATTAGTCATTTCTTCAAGACTCCCTCATTATTTTTGGTATAAAATGGTATTTATATGAAAGTCTAGGTACTAGTTGTATTTATTCCTTTTTTGGTGTTACCACTTTAAATTCTCTAAGTGGATAGTGCTATTGAATATATTTAAGTATTATGTATGTGAATGTGTATACACATATGTATATTTATACATTCACACATAAAAACAGACATAATCTGAAAACCCTGATTTCATAGTGATACTTTCGATTTTAATCCTACACCCAAGTATTTAATTTAGTCTTCAAATTTCAAATTTCTAACTCCCTTCTTTAACCGCTTTCATTAGCTTTAATAATTTTAAAATTTGACCAGTCTACCTGTGTATAATGTATCTCCCATCTTCTCCATTCTCTCTTGGATGCCTTCCTCATGTCTCCAGGCTCCAACATTCCAAAGGGAGGAGCTTTTTAAAAATAATTTTTGTAATCTCAATGTCTAGCATGTAGTAGCTATTCATAAGCTGATTACATTCTGCTGATGAGCCCTTACATTCAAGTACTTATTGCAGAGTTCCTGTGGGCAGAGTGTTGGGCCATACTTGCAATGAGAGTAGTCATAACTCACTTGAAGCAAAGTGTGAAAGATGATATATCAAGAACTATGTAATGTTTTGAACAACCAACAATAAAAAAAAAATAAAATATTTTAAAAATAAAAAAAAAAAAAGAATAAATGGGAAATCAGCACTTAGTTCTGAGGGAGCAGTTGGTATACTGGAAGAGGCGCAGTTACATGTGTGAAGTGATATGATGTTGGTTATGAAAGATTATGAAAAATAGTTAAAAAATAATAGTTAAAAATAGTATCTACATTTTGAGAAGAAAGAGTTGCTGAATGAATTTAAAATGACCTGAATTTATCTGAAAGTTCTGAATTTATCTGAAATTCAGATAAGTTTTAGGCTTTGGCTTGAAAAGTAATAGATGAGGTTTGGTAAAGAAATATTCCATGAATATGAAGGAGACAAAATTAGCAATGAGAAATAGACTAAATTAGGCAATGTTGAACTTAGAAGAGCTATAGTAAGAAAGCATCTAGGGAAAAGTATTCACTTATATGCTAATGAATGTGGGTTTTGTAGACAAAATGGTAATTGTGTATGTTTTTAAGCAGGGAATTATAATGGGTACATTCTGTATGTAACATTTATTAAAATGTTTAGAAGCTTATTATAGCCTGATATTTCTGTGCGGGAGGCACCAAGTAATGTAGTGCTTTGAGGGGAACGCAACTGCAGAGCTTTCTGGAGCTCTCCTTTATGATGGATAGTTTTAGGATCATAGGACACACACTGCTAAAGTCCAGTTATTCATTGTGCTTCTTGGTAAATGTTCATTTAAGCTGCTTGGTAAATTTTCTTTTGTTGTTAACTTTGTTTTGTTTTGGGTTTTAAAAAATTTGTTCTAATTGGTTATACATGACATTAGAATGCACTTTGACACATCATACATAAATGGAGTATAACTTCTCATTCTTCTGGTTGTACATGAAGTAGTATCACACTGGTCATGTAATCATACACAGGATACTAACATCTGATTCATTCTACTGTCTTTCCTACCACCACACCTCCTCCCCTCCCCACACTCCCCACAGCCTAATCCAAAGTACCTCTATTTTTCCCTAGCTTCCCTGCCTTATTATGAATTAGAATCCACATATCAGAGACAACATTTGGCCTTTGGTTTTGAGGATTGGCTTATTTTACTCAGCATAATATTCTCCAGCTCTAACCATTTACCTGCAAATGCCATAATTTCATACTTCTTTAATGCTGAGTGATATTTCATTGTGTATATATACCACATTTTCTTTATCCATTCACCTGTTGAAGGGCATCTAGAATAGTTTCATAATTTGGCTGTTGGAAATTGAGCTACTATAAACATTGATGTGACTGCATCACTGTAGTATGCTGATTTTAAGTCCTTTGGGTATAAACCGAGGAATGGGATAGCTGAGTCAAATGGTGGTTCTATTCCAAGCTTTCTGAGGAATCTCCATACTGCTTCCCACCAGCAATGTATTAGTGTACCTTTCTTCAGAGGTCCTTGCAAACATTTGTTTTGCTTGTATTCTTGATAATTGCCATTCTGACTGGAGTGAGATGAAATCTTAGAGTAGTTTTGATTTGCGTTGCTCTAATTGCTAGAGATGTTGAACATTTTTTTAAATATATTTGTTGATCAGTTGCATTTCTTCTTCTGTGACTTGTCTGTTCAGTTCCTTAGCCCATTTATTGGTTGGGTTATTTGTTTTCTGGTGTTAAGGTTTTTGAGTACTTTATACATCCAGGAGATTAGTGCTGTATCTGAGGTGAGTATGGTGAAGATTTTCTTCCATTCCGTAGGCTCTCTCTTCATGTTATTGATTGTTTCCTTTGCTGAGAAGCAGCTTTTTAGTTTGATACTGCCCCATTTATTGGTTCTTGATTTCATTTCTTGTGCTTTAGGAGCCTTGTTATGGAATTTGGTTTCTGAGCTGACATGATAAAGATTTGGGCCTACTTTTTCTTCTGTTAGGCGCAGGGTCTCTGTTATAGTGCCTAAGTCTTTGACCCACTTTGAGTTGAGTTTTGTGCAGGGTGAGAAATAGGGGTTTACTTTCATTTGTTACAGATGGATTTCCTGTTTTCCCAACACCATTTGTTGAAGAGGCTATCTTTTTTCCAGTGAATGTTTTTTGGCACCTTTGTCTAGAATGAGATAACTGTATTTATTGGCTATGTGACTTCTATTCTGTACCACTGGTCTACATGTCCGTTTTGGTACCTCTACCATGCCATTTTTGTTACTATGGTTCTGTGGTATAAGATCAGGTATTATTATGCCTCCTGCTTCACTTTTCTTGCTAAGAATTGCTTTGGCTATTTTTAAGTCTCTTCTTTTTCCAAGTGAATTTCATGATGGCCTTTTCTATTTCTATGAAGAATGTCATTGGGATTTTAAGAGGAATTGCATTAAATCTGTGTAATGCTTTTGGT